CCCACGCCCAACGGGGCCCTGACATACCACAGGGCCTGGCACACACGCCATGTCCCCACACACAACAGGGCCCTGACACACAACGGGGCTTGGCACACGCGCCATGACCCACGCACAACGGGGCCCTGACATACCACAGGGCCTGGCACACACGCCATGTCCCCACACACAACAGGGCCCTGACACACAACGGGGCTTGGCACACGCGCCATGACCCACGCACAACGGGGCCCTGACATACCACAGGGCCTGGCACACACGCCATGTCCCCACACACAACAGGGCCCTGACACACAACGGGGCTTGGCACACGCGCCATGACCCACGCACAACGGGGCCCTGACATACCACAGGGCCTGGCACACACGCCATGTCCCCACACACAACAGGGCCCTGACACACAACGGGGCTTGGCACACGCGCCATGACCCACGCACAACGGGGCCCTGACATACCACAGGGCCTGGCACACACGCCATGTCCCCACACACAACAGGGCCCTGACACACAACGGGGCTTGGCACACGCGCCATGACCCACGCACAACGGGGCCCTGACATACCACAGGGCCTGGCACACACGCCATGTCCCCACACACAACAGGGCCCTGACACACAACGGGGCTTGGCACACGCGCCATGACCCACGCACAACGGGGCCCTGACATACCACAGGGCCTGGCACACACGCCATGTCCCCACACACAACAGGGCCCTGACACACAACGGGGCTTGGCACACGCGCCATGACCCACGCACAACGGGGCCCTGACATACCACAGGGCCTGGCACACACGCCATGTCCCCACACACAACAGGGCCCTGACACACAACGGGGCTTGGCACACGCGCCATGACCCACGCACAACGGGGCCCTGACATACCACAGGGCCTGGCACACACGCCATGTCCCCACACACAACAGGGCCCTGACACACAACGGGGCTTGGCACACGCGCCACGTCCCCGCACACAACAGGGCCTGGCACGTGCAGTGTGTCCCTACCGCGGAGCAAATCCCCAGTACACAATGAGGCCTGGTACACGCAGCGTATCCCCACATGCAACAGGGCCTGGTACACAAAGTGTGTCCCCAGCGTGAATGGGACCCCGACACACAACAGGGCCTGGCACGCGCAGCAGGGCCCTAACCCACAGCAGGGCCCTAACCCACAGCAGGGCCGCATGCTCACAGCAGGCACCAGCCGTGCAGCCGGGATGTCCCCGGCCATGCAAAGTGACACGCCAGGCACTGCGTGTTCACACAAACTGTGTATATGAAGCATGTGCAGGATGCACCCCATGCACGAGAGCACTTTGTGGGAGCGGACACCCCTGCGCGTGCGTGGGGCCGAGGAGAGGGCGGGGGCAGGTGGACATGAAGCAGGTAACACAAAGGCCAAACACGGTGAGAACAAGGCAAAGCAGGCCAGGCACTGCCTACTTATTCCCTTAACAATTTGTTCTGCAGATGCACGATAAGTTTAAAGAATTACTCATTCCCTTTTTTTTCCTTTTTACGTTTTGCTGAAAGATTGTTGCATTACAGAGTTGCTGAAATTTAAACTTGATAAGCATTGCAAACTTAAGTCCTAAAGCTGCTGGATCTGGTCATCTGTATGGGCAGACCCCTTCCTGCAGAGAGCCGCAGTGGAGATGGGGGCGGGGGTGAAAGCTAAGTACCCGCACAGATGGTTTCGGATCTATTCAAGCCATTACCGCTGCGTTCAGCTCTGTGAGCACCTTCCTGTGGTGCCCTGAGGAACACAACACCCCTAGGGGGTGGTCAGTGCACTTGTCCCTCCTCTCCTGCGTGGAGGGAACAGCATTTTGGTGTATAACTTGTAGACTGGACTTTTCATTCCTGCGCTTCAAATAAAAGGGTTGTGCCAGGTTTATGACAATCCACCTGCGAGAGCGCATCCTCGGTCTGGGGACTGCTCTGGGTCTCAGGCTCGCAGGAGCTTCACCGCAGCAGCAGGAACAGTAACACAGCATTGAAGTTTATCAGCCACAGACGTCAGTTTAAAATTCCAGGCAGTTTCTTTTTAAAAGGTATTTTAGGACTGAGCCACTAGGTACTGGGGATGTGAGACTGTGCTCTAATGGAGAGCAGTGGTACTGTGTAATATATGCTAGAAAATCTTGTTTGGGGCTCTGCAGCTTTGCAGTTAATAATATTATTAGGGAGAACTGACCGTGTTCTCACCTCCATCAGGACTAAATCTAGAAAAGGGTCAGGGGATGGACATTTTTATTTATATCTCTGTAGATGCATCTTTTATATAGAGGATCTTCCCTCACTTAAAGATTTTTATGAAGGTGTTAAAAGAGAAGGTTGGCTGATGTTAGCTTTATCATGTACAGTCCCGAGCCCCAAATCACACAAAAGTGAGTGGGAGTATTTGGCATGCTGAGAGACTGTGTCCTAAATCACTGATAATAACTATTATACAGAACTTACAAAATCGGAGATTACGACAGGTGCTTAGTTCATCCCAGCAAGTACTTTGAGTACTTGGTCATGCTAAAACCTGCATGCTGCTGGCGCGCCCTGCCCATTTCACCCATTCGGCTAATAAATACTACTCAAATACCAGTGGAGGAGGGATTGCTACATATCATTAAATCTTGTAGCAACTCTTCTGTTCAAGGGCAAAGTGAAAAGAACACATGAAACAGCAAATAAAGTAAATCAGCCTTAAAGCGTGCATTTGGAAGGTGCCTTTGAAAATAAGCAGTAATAAAAGCCTTTGGCCACCCTCAGCTTTGACGGCCTCACAGCAGCACTTTATTTATCGTTATAACACTAATGCTTAGGCTTTTTCACAGATGGATCCCAGTGCACATCGCACAGAAGGATAATTGTTAACAGCCTATTTACATACAGCACAGAAAAGATGCCAAAATATTTATGTGAGTTGTACACAAGCAA